ACCATCCGTCATATCGGTCAACAGGCTTCGTTGAACGAACCAGGGGATACCAGCAGCTTCTTCCGAACTAATGGATGCACGTGAACGCATGTCTGCAGGCCCCGAGTACAATAAAGAGCGAATGCAACTTAAAAGTAGATTGAGAAAAGTCTACGCAACAACCGCGAACAGTGGTGGGCAGCAAAGGCTAAAGAGATGGAAAAGGCAGTGGCGATTGGTAACAGTAAACAGTTATTTAGACTTATTAAGGAAACTGGGCGGTGGGGTGGGTAAGGTCGACTGTGGTTAGTGCAACCATAGCGGAGAAGGACGGATCTGTGATTCACTCACAGGGGAGACGACTGGAACGATGGGCAGAACACTTCGAGAAACAGTTTAACTGGCCTCCAGCCACCATTGCATTGCCCGCTATCCAGTCGGATCCTGAATGGGACATAAAGATAGGCCCCCAAACACTAGGAGAAGTTGAGAAAGTGGTAGGTAATTTGAAACGAAGAAGGGCAGCAGGACCAGACGGACTATCTGCTGAGGTATACAAGGATGGTGGTAGAGTGCTCTTAGTCAGGTTAACGGTAGTGTTTACCAGTATATGGAATTAAATATGATCCCCTCTGACTGGTCTAAGTCACTGATTACCCCAGTCTTCAAGAAAAACGAGAAGTCCTCTTGTGATAACCACAGAGGAATCAGCCTGACGAACATAGTGTGTAAGATTCTAGGTTCTACATTTCTCCGACACCTGAGTGGAGCTCGGGAACAGCAAGTCCGAGAAAACCAGGCAGGATTTAGACCTGGCCGCAGACGTATCGACCAAGTATTCACAATGGGCCAGGTTTTGGAACACACATATGCCTACCTCACGCCGTATGGCAGTAGCTGTATTTCTCGACCTCAAGGTGGCATTTGACTCCGTTGATCGAGAAGTCTTATGGCAATGTCTCTCACTGAAAGGCGTGACGAGTAAGTACATCACCTTATTGAAGGCTCTCTACTCGAACACTTGTGGGCGTGTTAGAGCCTATGGCGAGATGTCAGGTGGGCTGTACTCACCGACTGCTATCCGTCAAGGGTGCCCACCCTCACCATTCTTATTCAATTTTACCATAGATATTCTTATGGAAGTTTCCCTCTCGTCGTCTGATTACACAGACGTTGACCTAATCGGTGGAGAATTTTCGTTAGACCTAGAATATTCAGATGACACTGTCCTGTTAGGTGAAGACGCTGACAAGATGAAGAGTCTTTTGAACACTTTGAGTGGGAATTTGAGAATGTTTGGGATGCGTTTCTCATCACCCAAATGCAAATTGTTGCTTCACGATTGGTCTTCAACGGTGCCACGGCTAACAATAGAGAGTGAAGTGGTTGGGTGTGTTGACCACTTCACTTATTTGGGAAGTAGGATCAACCCTGGTGGGTTAGTTGCCGATGAAATCTCTGTACAGATACGAAAGGCTCGACTGGCTTTCGCCAACTTACGCTACCTGTGGTGCCGCCGGAATATCCGATTATCTACTAAGGGTCACGTTTACTGCACATCAGTCTGGTCTGTTCTACTCTATGGCTGTGAAACATTACCATTGAAGGTGGAAGACATGAGAAGGCTGGCTTCAGGTGTTTGACTACCGCTGCCTTCGTAGTATAGGACGTATTCCGTGGTGTCACCACGTGGGTAACGCAGAAGTCAAAAGTAGAGTTTTAGGAAGAAGAGGTAAGTCGGTTGACGAGGTTGTGAACGTTCACCGATTGAGATGGTTGGGACACGTACTACGTATGCCTAGTCACCGATCGCCTCTTCACACAATGTTGGCTGAAGTAGGTCCAGGCTGGAAAAAAGCTCGAGGTGGCCAGACAAAAACATGGCACCAATGTATGAAGTCTCTGACTGTTGGTTTGAGCCATATGGGGCGATGCAGACTAGATGGTTGGGCTTCGCGGGACAAGAGGAACCAGTGGTTGAAGACCCTAGGTGATATGGCTAAGAACCGATGTCAGTGGCGCAGATGTATACATACATTATCCTCATTTTAACACTATACCGATGCTTACCATTTCTTTATTCCTCTTTTTTTTCTTCTCGTATTTTATATTTCTTTGATTGCATTCTCTTATTTTCATCCTTCACCTCACTACCTTTCTACTTGATGTACTGTACTGAGCTGTGGCAACTCGGACCGTTACGCAGTAATGCCTGGTCCTAGGTTGATCTGGATGGATTAGATGGATACTCAGGGAATCTCATGCCAAAGAACTGACAACGGTAATCGTCGGTTGAAATTTTGTTCCAAGAATCACTTGGTTCTGGCCAGCACTAACTTTAAGCTTGAGTAGAGACACTACCTAACATGGTGTCCGCCAGCTTCAAGCCAACAATGGACACATAGATTACATTGCTATAAGTCATCGATGGAGAGAATCGGTGGAGGATATCCGCTCGTTCTGGAGTACCAGTATGGACTCAAATCACGTGTTATTACGGAATGGCATACATCTGCGCCCTACTGGTCGCAGGAAACAAGTGATAGTAAACTATATCTATGGCTAGCTAAAAAATGAGGATCGTAGGCATGCATATAAGGAAGAGATAGCCAAGCATTTATCGGAGCACGACAGAAATATTCACCCTGGCGAAACCAGGCGTAATATTAAGTCACCTGTAGGAACACTGGTAAATACACCTAGTAACCTACATAAACTACAAAATAACTCATTTACCCGAAGCTAGTAACCGCTTTCGAATTTCAAGTCAAACATTTCTGAGTTCAGATCAAAAATGGCTAACTTTCAATTATTCTGGTGACTACATTTTTGATTCCTTTGCACTACTATTTATTGTTTTGTAGTTGTAAAGGAAGATTATAGCTCTCGCATTTATGTATGAGATTTATAAATAACGTCTAGAACAAATACTAGTCAATAAGAAAAGACCGATAAGTAAAACAGCCAAAAATAAATTGAAAGTCGATGAGAAACACCACTGAGTATCTTGGTGCAAAAACAATTGAAATCTGAGGAAATTAAAAACCTCTACAAATGTAGCAAGCTGGTGAGCGAACAGGCCTACATTGTAGTCGGTTTGGTGGCTAGCAGTAGAATCCAGGATGCCCGTCTCGTTCAATTTGGGACTCGTCAGCTGGATACACCTGGACCCCAGTGAGTGATGATGTTCCCACTGAAACTCTAACCCAATACCCTTCACTTCAAACACCAAAGTCTTATCCACTTGGTCACTGGGGCATGAAAACCACCAGTTCTGCAAAGGATATCAGTTGGTGTTTATTGATACTAGTAATTTCCTGTTGCTACATTGGGTCGAATTAAAGCGATGGGTACTGGAATTGGACCTCAGGGGGAACAACACCACCCACTGCGATGCAGGTACGGTCAGCTAACGAGTCCCAGATAAGACGAAACTAGCGTCCTGGATTCCACTGCTAGTCATCAAATAGACTGCAAAATAATGAATATCCAGACGCACTGAAAACACACGCAGAGACATCAACAGCGGACACGCTCACAACAAATTGTGAGGAGCGAGAAGATGGGCGTACGCTGTTTGACAGATGAAAAGAGCATAGAAGATTTGGATTTCACCAACGATGATAATTTATATCTAATGTCGAACAAACTCGAAGATGTACATGCGAAAACCAACACGTTGGCAGAAGAGGCAGGGCAGCGAAGACGGCACTTCCTTCAGGTGAATGTAGAGAAAACAGAGGTGGTGAAGATACCGCACCACCAGCATCAACAACAACAACAAACTCCAATCACCATCAACGGGACAAACCTAAAGCAAGTAGTCTCTTTCACCCACCCACCCACCTACCTACCTAGTTAGCATCGTTTCAAGTACAGGCGGCACAGGCACAGATGAGGATGTCAAAGCCAGCAGAATCGGAAAGACAGCAAAATAGCCCTTCACTAACCTAGAACTAGTGTGGGGATCAATCGCACTCAGCATAAAGCGTGAACAATATTCGGATTTTCAACACTAATTCAGTCAAGTAAGTCAGTACTTCCATGTGATGGTTCAGAGAGTTGGCGTGTCACGAGAAGCATTTTCAACAAACTGCACACATCATACATGAACACCTGCCACCTACACTCACTCGACACTGAAGATCAAATGAGATCAGATGGCCAGAACAATGAGAATACGCAACAAGGAACTCACTCCGGCTGACCTGGCCTGGCAACGAACCAACCAACGAAGCAACAACCCATCGCCTAACAAATATGCACTAGAAGAAAGTGGAGATGGGTTGGATTGGACATACACTGAGAAGATCGATTGTGGACATCACGCGCCAAGCCCTTGAGTGGAACTCGCATGGGAGACGACGAGTTGGGCGTCCCAGCTGAGGGTATGTGAGTAAGAAATGAAAGCTTGTGGGAAGTGTTGGAGCCAGGTTGAGAAGACTGTGGAGAAGAGTGGAGAGGGAAATGGAGACGTGCTACTGAAGCCATATGTACTACTAGGAACTCAAAGGATAAATAAGTAATAAATAATATGTCCACAGTTCCAAGACGCCATATTTGGTAAGATTATGTATATCATTTACGTTTCACTGCCGCATTCGCCTTTATATCACAAATCAATGTAATAAAAATGTCAAACCTTAATAATTGAAAAATTTAGCGGACATCAGAAGTTTGTTAGTGCGCCCAAAGTAAATGTTTCCTGGGACGTTTTGCAGTTACACCCTAGTGAACCGCTTCGCAGCACATATTAGGTAGCAAAGTGCCAGATATATTGAACAGAAAGTTATGGTAGTTGACCGAATCTCTGAAATGCAGTCTTTTATAGAATTTTCAGCCTCGTTCTGCTCATGAAAAATGCTTTTGAAGGATATCACGAAGTCTTAGATCACTAGGATTCACTTTTAGTATTCGCACAAAATGACTGCGATTGGATTATGCAAGAAAACTGACTATAACAATAATTTCAACACACTGGATGTAGAATTAATGGTCGCAGAAAATGAACAACAACCAACCTTGAGCAACGTCACAGTTTATATCTCCGGGCTTTTGTGTACAATGACAGTAAAATCATTTGTGTCAGTAACAAAATCCAAGTTATTCATTTTCTGCACCTCTTTACGAGAATTTGATCATAACCTTTTCCTGTTCTTATTCCATCTTTACTTACACGACGTTCTTAAACGAACGAGAGTCCAACATTGGTAGTGAGAACTCAGAAAACTGATAGTTTCTGATTTTCTACATCTATTTTTTCGTGATAAGTTCATGTCGCCCGGTTATGCTCCTTCAGTGGACAGGGAAATCCTTTCTGTCTTCTTGTTTTTAGGTCCGATGAGGTGAATATTTCTGTGTGTAGGTAATTGCAGTTTGTAGTGATCAGGAGAATAAGGGTTACCAACAACTTATGCTTTCATTTTTATACGTTCGGATTGTCAGGAACTTCCCAGAGGGGGATTGAGAGGGTAAAATTGCTGTGGTAAGGGTGTGACAACCTAGCCTGGTTAACTAGTTTACTAGTTACTAGCCGGTCCTAAGCCAGGGTAAAGAGGGAAGGTTGGGCATAGGGCTAGCAACCCTACCCCGGAAAACAAATCTAACCGCTAAACAAACTTCAAAGCACAAAAGAAATATATAAAAGAAAATTATTCCTCGCTAGAATCGGAGAGGCGAAATGACGCCAGTTGGTGAAAGCCTGCCTTAGGGAAGCCAATTGGCCGATGTGTCTTCTCTCTCTCAATGAAAGCGAAAGTAAACGTGGGGACATGGAATGTCCGTACGATGTCTGAACCCAGTAAGGCAGCCCAGATTGCAGAGGAGATGAGAAGGTATCACATCAAAGTGCTTGGGATTTGCGAAAGCAGATGGAATGGGAGTGGACTCTCCAAACTGTCAACTAGAGAATCAATAATCTACTCCGGTCACCCAGACGACAACCACGAGCACACTGAGTATTGGAGTGGCTATCATGATGTCCCCAACAGCATCGAAGGCTCTCATGCAGTGCGAACCAATCTCCTCCAGGATCATGACAGCAAGATTCAACTCAAAAGGAAGAAAGGTCACAATCATACAATGTTATGCACCTACAAATAATGCAGAGCAAGAGAAAAAGGAGGATTTCTACAGACAACTTCAATCAACACTGGACAAGACGTCAGTTGGCGATATCAAAATTCTAATGGGCGACATGAATGCCAGACTAGGAGGGGACAACACAGGAAGAGAACTAACCATGGGTCGAGAGGTGCTAGGTGAAATGAATGAGAATGGAGAATTGTTTGCAGAATTCTGCGCATTCAACGATTTGGTGATTGGTGAGGCAGTGTGTTCAGGCACAAAGATATCCACAAAGCGACATGGATTTCACCAGACACCAGGACACACTAAAAATCAAATCGACTTTATCTCAATCTCAAGAAAATGGAGACGCAGTCTACTTGACACAAGGTCAAGAAGAGGACCAGATGTAGGTTCACACCACTCACTATCTAGTGCAAGGAACCTTCCAAATCAAGTTAAAAGCCTTCAAGGAAGCTGGTGATAGACCTCAATTCAAGTACAACACTCGGAAACTGAAGGATGAAACTACAAAGGAGATCTTCAAGGCAGCCATCAAGACAAAATGGGAGACATCGAGCAACATCCCTGAAGAAACCTGTGTGGAAGAACACTGGAAGTCTTTGAAAGCTATGTGGAAAGAAACCTGCACAACAGTATTAGGAAGGAAGAAGAAAGAAGACAAGGAATGGATCTCGACGGATACCTGGAAGCTGATAGAGGAGAGGAGGATGGTGAAGCAGAAGATAAACCAGTGCAAGGATGCTCAACGACAAGAGGAACTGAGCACAATGTATAAAACACTGGACAAAGAAGTGAAGAAGAGTGCACGCAAAGACAAAAGACACTTCTACGAAACACTGGCAAGTGAAGCAGAACAGGCTGCAGGCTGGTAGAGAGAGACCTGACGACATTGTATCAAATAACCAGGTTGCTATCAGGGAAGAGACCAACACAGATGAAACCAATAAAAGATGAAGAAGGAAATTTAATTACAAAAGAAGAGAAACAGAGGAAACGATGGGCCGACCACTTCAAGAAGCTCTTGAATCGACCACCACCTGCACTTCGTCCAGAAATACCACCTGCAGCCGCTGAATTACAAGTGAACATAAATCCCCCAACGAAAATGGAAGTCCTGAACGCCATAAAGCTACTGAAATGCGGGAAAGCAGCAGGACCAGATGGAATACCGCCAGAAGCACTGAGAACAGATGCAGAGACAACAGCGGACATGCTCACACCACTATTGCAGAAGGTGTGGAAGGAAGAGAAGGTACCGGACGATTGGAAGAAGGGTTACCTTGTCAAACTGCCGAAGAAGGGAGACCTCAGTGCTTGCAAGAACTGGCGCGGAATCACTCTCCTGTCCACCCAAGCAAGTAAAATATTAGGCCGCATCATCCTGGAGAGGCTTAAAGATGCACTGGATTCAAAACTGCGACCGGAACAGGCAGGCTTCAGGAAGTACAAATCATGTGCCGACCAAATTGCAACGCTTCGTATCATCATAGAACAGAGCGTAGAATGGCGATCAGCTCTCTACCTCAACTTCATCGACTTTGAGAAGGCCTTTGACAGCGTCGACCGAGAAGTAATTTGGAAACTGCTTCAATACTACGGAGTACCGCAAACCTTTATCCGCCTCATTCAACAACTATATGAAGGTGCCACATGCCAAGTAATTCACAACGGGAAGCTGAGTGATGCTTTTGAAGTGAAGACAGGAGTGAAACAAGGTTGCCTACTATCCCCCATGATATTCCTTATTGTGGTGGACTGGATCATGCAGCAAACAGTAGGCAGCGAGAAGAGGGGGATACGCTAGCTGGACGGCGGAAAAGAACCTAGAAGACTTGGATTTCGCCGATGACTTGTGCCTAATGTCACACAAACTTGAAGATCTGCAGGCAAAAACTAACAAGTTGATAGAAGAGGCAGCTAAGACGGGACTTCAGGTGAATATAGAGAAGACAGAGGTGATGAAGATACCGCACCACCACCATCAACAATAACAACAAACTCCAATCACCGTCAACGGGAGAAACTTGAAGGAAGTAACCTCCTTCACTTATCTAGGAAGCACTGTTTCAACTACAGGCGGGACGGACGAGGACGTCAAAGTGAGAATCGGAAAAGCAAGACAGGCGTTCATTAGCCTGAAACCAGTGTGGAGATCTTCTGCACTCAGCATGCGGAACAAGATACGGATTTTCAACACCAACGTCAAGTCAGTGCTCTTGTATGGCTCAGAGACTTGGCGCGTCACGAAAGACATTTTCAATAAACTACATACATTCATCAACAACTGCCTACGCTGGCTCATTACTGAAGATCAGATGGATTGCCAGAAGGTATAAGCAACAAGGAACTCTGGGAACGAACCAACCAAGAACCTATCACGCAACAAATATGCAGGAAGAAGTGGAGATGGATTGGCCATGCACTGAGAAGGCCGACTGAGGACATCACGCGTCAGGCCAGTTACTCGAGTGGAATCCCCACGGGAAGCGACGAGTTGGACGTCCGAGGGTGACATGGAGGAGGTCGTGCGAGGCGGAAATGAGAGGTTGTGGGCTGTCATGGGACCAGGTTGAAAAGATCTCAGAGAACAGAGGTCACTGGAGGCGTGCTACTGAAGCCCTGTGTTCCACTAGGAACCCAAGGGACTAATAATATTAATAATAAGTGTGTGACAGCCTGAGCTGTCAAGAAAAAGGTAGAAAATAAAAGAATTTCCGGAGTTTGTGTTTTAGTGATCGTGTAGCGCCATACACTTCCCCAAAATCAATAGCCTAGGGTTTGACGACTTCGACATTGATGCTGACCTTGATAGTTTAACTGGACTCGCTAAGCTGAAGGCACCCGGTCAAGCATCCTCGCCATTTGGCACGCTGTCGTGTTACGTTGCATTGCTCGTATTCGACTCTCTAGCCAGTTAGTTGGAACGCATCGGTATTTTGGCATAACCATCCAAATATACTATTCCATCCGACTACGCTATCGTGTTCTTCCTTGGTCTCGTATTCGTGGGTATATAACAAGTTCGAATAATTAGTGATTGGTCTTTGCGTCTGTCAAGTTCGCACCAGGACAAATCCTAAATTGGTGAGCCCGACGTGATCACATATCCCGACCAATAACAAGTATTGAATTGGTGAGCCTGTTCCATTTTATATTTGTTTATTGTTTTCATTTCGATAACATTTATATATCCATTTACTACACTTTCTCATGTCCGACCACACTCCCAAGCTTATTCGTATTAAGCCGACCTCGAACACGATCCAACTCGTGCCATATTGGCCAGACAATGCAGAAACATGGTTTCTGTATGCCGAGGCCGATTTTCGAGAACAGGGTGTCTCAGATCCTCATCTCGATTTCTTGCTGTCATACGTTCACTACCGCGAGAATTAAACAGGTATGTTACAGCAAACATGTTTAATCCTGAAGTAAGTGACCCTTATGCACTTCTAAAGGCCGCACTCTTGAAGAAAAGCGATCTCACAGATCGCCAACGTCTAGACGAATTGCTTCGTAACATCGAGCTAGGCAGCCACTCAGCTACTGAAGTCCTCGCACGCATGCGAGAAGTAATCGGTGCACGAACATTTGACGATGGTTTCTTCCGAGAACTATTTCTCTCGAAACTACCACAACCGGTGCAAACCGTGTTGGTGACACTCCAGTCAGTCCCACTCGACGACCTGGCAGCCTCAGCAGATAAAATACTGGAGATATCCAGCAGACCCGTCTCCAACGTATATTCTATCTGCGACAAACAGAGCGCCAGGATTCGAGGTGACCAAGTTGTGCAACTCTGTGAAACGGTTGCTACGATCTCGAAGTCCTAGATCACGTAGCACTTCACAGAAACGCACCTTGGCGCATCGCAGCAAGTCGCGTGGTAGCCCTAAAACGAAACCCAACAGGGTGGAAAACCCTGAATGGTGCTGGTTTCATAACACTTACGGGGATGAAGCCAGAAAATGTC